GGGCGGTGGAAGATGATTGACGATGGACGGTGGACGGCGGCGACGGCGGGTGAAGGTCGGCGAATGGGCGGTCCATGCCGTAGGTTTGCTCACAGAAACAGGGAAGAGCAACGGGTGGGACGAGGAAGGGGAAGGGCGGGTGTACCTATCTGGAATCCAGCAATGGATCTGGATTACCTAAAGTTCCCTCTGGGGTTCATCTTGCCCGATTTAAATCTTTCATTTCGAGAAACCCCAGGCCATAAGGCAGCAGACATGGACAGACGAGAGGAAGAGGAAGGGAAGGGGAAGGAAGGAAGGAAGGAAGGAAAGAACGAGGACAGACAGCCAGGACAGGGACAGGCACCAGGCAGGAGAGCCCACAACTGCAAAGTCAGTTTAACCAGCCCGTCGGTGACAGAAGTACCGCACCCTATGTTTTACTGCCGGGAGATACTTGGCACCCGCCTGTTGCGACCGAAGAGAGAGATGAGGAGGAGGGGCTCGCGCGAGCTGGGCGGTGGATGACAACTGCCCGGATGGATGTTCTAGGGCGCCGCTGTCTCCTTCCCTACAGGGCGCGGGACGCTGAGACGGACTGCAGCACGTGGCCACTGTATCTGCCCAACGATGCGGATACATAGGAATCCGAATCCGCACCTGCCTTGACAATGGAACTGATGAGTGAGGTGTGGATTGCTACCTGCCTGGCTTTCATTGCTTAGGTTGGAGGGTGGGAGGTGAGGAAGGCGCGTCCACTATTGTACTGCTGCGTTGCTCCTACGGTTCTGGGAGAATCAAGCCAACAGCAGCAACACATCAAATGGTAAGAACCCATCGTGCCTTTCTGCCTGGGGAAAGCACAGCCCGCCAGGTCAGCGCCTACGTCAACTCAAGGTAAGGCCTACTTCACACCTTGATACCTACCTTACCTACCGTCCCCCTTCTCGGGACGGCAACGCACCGGCGCGGTCCAAACTTGAACCGAAAAGGCTTGTAGAGTGCAGATGGCGAAAACTTATCCCAACGTCAGCTCGAGTCGGCTTCGGGCCTGCCTCCGGTCTGCCTCTGCCTCTGCCTTTGGCTCCTCACCCTCGTTGCCGTCACAGCTCGTCATTGCATGCGATGCATCATCTGTCCACGTCAAACTGTTTCATCGCCTGCTGTACCTACCTCACCAAGAGATGACCACTCTTATCTTCACCTTGCTGTGTGCCGGTATGTCGTCGCCCTTGACCTCAACTTTGCCTTCCGGCTCACCTGCAACCATCAACTCCAACTACAAGTCTAACTGCACCGGAGCCAAGATACATCGAGCCCTAGCTTCCCTCCGCCTCCCGAGCTCCTGGCCCTCATTTGGAATGCGAGCCGCTCAACCTGATGGACGACCCATCTCGAGCTTTGGCCCATCCACTCGTCTACAGCCCCTCTTCAAATCTCGCTCCGAGGTTGAAAGAGACGACACCCCGTAGAGAGGCAACGCCGCAAGGGCATGGACATGGAACTTGGACATGGGAGACGTAGTTGGGAACACCACTCCTGCCATCGACCGACCCCTGTCCACGGACATCTGACGTCCAAAAAAGCCCGGGGCAGTGTGCGGCACTCAGCGCCGCCGCATTCCACTCACATCGCACCACGCACGGCACGAATACAGAGACTACCGAGTTCTCTCCTTCTGGTCTCTCCATCATGAGTGCGCAGTTTGGTATCCTTACGGTACCTCGCTCCGAAGACACGCGCCTAGCGACATCATGCTGCGGGAAACACCAAATCCAACTGGAACCGATGTGCTCACCACAGAAAGACTCTGCATCTCATCCCTGACAGCGCCTCCAATGCCTATGCCCTCTTCCCTCCTCCAGCGTCCTCCCCGCTCCCTGACTATCCGCCTCCCACTCATGTAGCAGCTCAATCTCAGAACGCCCCAGCTGCTTTCCTCCATTCAACTCAATAAAAGAGAAGGCAAAGCCTGAACGAAGCCTGGAAAAGCTCTAGCGCACTCCATCACTATCGCCAAACGCCATGGACAAAAACCATCTCGCGCTTCGAAGTATTGCTGCCGAAAGAATGGGATCTTGCATGCAAAGGAAGAACATCGCAATGGGCAAAGCATCGTTTCCTTCTCACGCAATTATCCAGCATTTGCCAAGCAATGGTACAGCGCTTTTGCACCAACGTGCTATCCAGAGCCTAGACAATGGGTGGCATAACATCGACGCTTCCCACTCATTGTTGACCCGTATCTGAGTCCATCTCTGAAAGTCTGTCGCTGTCCAATTCCGACAATCACAATCTCGCCAAGGAGTTACCAGGGCGGATGCAAATCGACACCACCGACCCTGACGCCATGAACCTCCTGAGAGTACATCGTCAGCCCGCCTCCGTCCATCGTGTCTGCCACACCACTACCAACAGCCCGCCTGAGTGATGAGCGATGGAAATACCAACTCTGGGGCAGCGACTGCTGTTACTGATGGCTGACTGGGATGCTACTGCTGACCCCCAGTCATCACTGACCCTGATCCTGGTAAGCCCCCCTGCCCAGCCGCTGCCCCCCTCGACAACCAATCTGCGATCCAGCCGTGACAGCAGGCCAATTATCGTGGGGCATATCCCCTGCCCAAGATGCAATGACCGCAAAAAGTCGTACCATTTCCTTAGCCATCAGAGATTGCTAGACTCCGACCCAGGGGGGGATTTGCTGGCGCACGAGGTCGGCACCAAGATACGCAGTATCCGTACAGAGAGTACTGCTGCTGGACTTCTCCAGCTCTGTCTCCTCCAGGGTCGTTGAGGCACCGTAGTACTATCTTGACAGCCAAAGCACTGGACAAATACCTGCAAATTACACATTGCCGCCGAGGTATCACCCAATGGTTGCTGATAAATCTACGCAGTATGTAGCTACTGATGTTGCGGACTGCAATGTCTTGTCTGCCATAGTCGTCGATTGGCAGTGTCAGACTACTGACGCTTGGTAAAGAGCGTCATCTTCCGAGAGCTCTCTTCTTCCACGCCACGACCAGGCGAGAGACCTGGGTGAATGAGTTCCAACAACCGAAGCCTCGACTGCAGACCATCTGCAAATCAGAAGTCAATCAATCGACATGTTGCCGCCAATCTGGATGCTAAAATCTGGCCCCCCTTCCTACCACCCCGGCCTGTTGACTGAATGGATACCTGGGCAATACGATGCGTTACCTGATCCCTCACGACCCCGGTCTGCTCTGACCGGTACATGCAAAGGTGCAGTCTGCACACGCATATCAGTCCCTCCGGCTCACGACGATTCCTAGTCCAACACACCGCACATCTGGTCCCCGAGCAGTGATTCCTTGCCCTCCCCCCACATACCCCAAGAACAGTTAGGGAGGGATGATGGATCTGGTTCATCAGGAGCAAGCATAAGGCAACATGGACCTGCCGCCGTTGAGGCACTGTACCGAAGACCACCATACCCTCCCCCCCTCTCAGCGCCCCTGTAGCCGCGAAGGGGTACCTCCGTACATATCAGACCTTACCTGCGTGTGAATATACCAAGCACGTCCACTCAGAAATCACACCTCGCTCGCCCTGGGTGTCAGTCGCTGATCTCATAATACCTCTGTCATTTCCTCTCATAACCCACACATCCGCGTTTCCTCTCTTCCTTTCCTTTTCCTCCCTTCTCTTCCTCTCTCTCTTCTTCCATCAACCCATTTCCAATCCATCTTACCTATCCGACAAACCCAGCAATATTCCTGCGACCGTTCGCGACTCGAACCATCACCAGATCGGCCTCCGCAACTCTTTGGATCGGGTGTCAGATCTAGAGGCACGATCTCAACTCAGACAGATAGTCATCGAAGAGTAGCACCGCACTTGTAAGACACACGAAGCCTAACATTGCGCACTTCGTCAGCCAACTCGCCGGACATACCAGACCGGCCAGGCACGAACGCTCCAAGGACTCATCGCCCATACCAAAACAAACCCTCCCTTTCTCTTCAGCACTCATTGAAGGGCGCCCGCCCTCCAAGGCGCTAGACCGGCACCAAAAAGCAACGGCAACGAAAAGAAATTCAGAAATTCCACCGGCCCAGGCCCACGGTATTTTCGCACACCCACACCCCATCGACGAGTCTGAGTCTCACTCCCAGACCCCGTCGAAATAGGCCCACCCCGACTAGCCTGGACGAGAGATTTTGACAGTGTGTGTCTTGGACAAAATACAAAAAGCCGCCACAAAGAGCAGCGTGGTAACTTGACCGACGCTAGGCGGCTTTTTCTTTCTCAGCTCGGAACCTCTCGACAAGCCCAATTGGAGCCAGCATTACCCCCGATTCCTCCCCTACCCTCCCCCCTTCATTCTCACACACCACATACACCCCCCCTGAGGAAAGGATACATGCAGTGACTTTTCTATCCCGCCACCACGCATCACACACGCGCGATAGCTTGATCAGATCTTGCCTACCGGATACCCAGCTGGAAGAGGTTCGACTAACTTAACCTAACCTCACCTCCTCTCCTAAGGGCCAAGCCACACCACACCACACTGTCTTTGCTCACACTCTCCCTCTGCCCTGCCCGGCTTTTATTCTTACATGACTCTGAGCCTCCCATCTTCAACCACTCTCTCTATCATCTCCACCTAAATACACCAAACCTCACCGGACACCCATCTTGACACCGACTTCACGGACTACGCCCGCTCTCGTCCCTTCAAGCCTTGGTCGAGTCAGATGCCCAGAGGCTCATAGATCGCATCTGGGGTTCTAGTCACTTCATCTGTTCTCCCGGCAAACCCGCTATGGAAGCGGGCGGATCTGGTACTAGGCAAAGGTCCGTTCGATTCTCACAGACGCCCCCCGTTACCTCATCATTTCAATTGCCCTGCCCCTAGACCAGACATTAACAAGTGCTTCCCATTTAACAGCCGACCACCTTCTGCCAGTAACCCCGATCGCTTTGAGTCCCATCATCATCCTCCCCCAAGAGAGCCTCTCGACAACAGACACTACCGAGACGGCCCCGCCATGGCGACCGCAGCCCTTATTAGCCCGAGCACAACCCCGTATGGCCATCCGACATCTTTTTCATCCAGCTATCCGCACCCAGCTCCCGGGCCCAGCATTGCAGGCATGATTTCTCCAGTTGAGCCTCGACGACCCTCGGACGAGTCTGAGACTCCTCATCGACAATCACTCCCTTCGCTTTCTGAGGTCATCTCTGGTGCGAAACCCAGCCAGTACCCGCCTTCACAAGCATCCAGCATGTCGGGTTCCCAAAGCTTCCCATCTCCCTTTGCACCAGGGCCTCCAAGATCGTATGCCGAGTCTTCCACCGATAAGAACTCTCCTCGGCCTCACCATCTCGCGTCGACATATCCACCAAGGCCCGACGCACTCCCTGCCATCTCGGATCCCTCAAGGCCGCCACCGCCATTCGCTGCCCGTCCTCCGCCGCCTATGGGCAGCTTTTCCGGTCCTCAACCGAGCCCGCCTCACAAGCCTGAGCATATGCGCGATCCCGACCCAAGGGCACCTGAGCCGGCTGGCCCCTACGCACAACATGCCGCGCCGCCGCCGCCCCCGATATATCCTCACCCGCACGCGAATCAACTTCCGGCAGGACAGGTCCCTTTGCCAGCGGCTTACCCCGTGTCACCTCGCCATGGTGGGCCTCCTCTGCCATCGCCGTACGATGCTCAGCGTCCTGGAGTCCACGAAGCTCAAGACTCTGAGTATGGTCCCGCCCGCCCTCAATATGACCGAACTTTGAACCGACATTTGGATGCGTGGGGCTACTCGGATGCCTTAGGTAGAGTGAGTGTTCCCATTAGTGTCACATCCTCTGTCAAGCTTACCAATAAGTTTAACCAGATCGCTTCCGCTACGAGGACGATTTACAACTTCGCCGAAGCTTACGGTCGCATCGCCGCAGAGCAGCATGGCAACCAGCAGCCACTGCCCGACAGGCTTCCTACTGAGCGGGAAGTAAATGACATGCTCGACAACGTGGAGTACATTAGAAATTCTTTGGACTCGGTGAGGCAACTTGTCAAGGACAGCAACGAGCGTGCGAGGGTAGTCGGCAAGCAGAAGAGCTACGAAGACGAGGACACGCCGATGTACGACGGTATGAACAAGAACAGCTACGGTATCACTGAGGTCAAGAAGCGACGCGGGGTAAGTTTTCCAACAGCAGCATCACACGCCCGGACGACTGAAGCTAACTGGGACATAGAGAGCTGCTCCTCCCGGCAGATGCCACAGCTGTAACCGAATCGATACTCCCGAATGGCGAAGGGGGCCTGACGGTGCCCGAACTCTCTGCAACGCCTGTGGACTACATTACGCCAAGCTGGAGCGAAAGCGTCAGCTTGAAGCGCGACAAATCCGTCCCAAGCCTTCTGACGAGAGGAGCTAATACAACGACTGCCCCGCCCACGCGTGGCCCGTCCACCTTCAACCCAAACAGTACATACCGACAGAAGCTGAGGGCTTCGATCAGCACGCATACCCCGATACTACTATATCGCATTCGATCCCAGTTTGTTGCACCTTCGGAAAAAAAAACCCAGATACCCCGGTCAACGCAATCCGGCACCTTATCACCATCAGACACGCAGCAACCGCCGGCGTTATCCTTCATACACTAGCAACAAAACTGGCTATATTGTTATTCCTCAATACCCGGCGTCGACATTTTGCAGTACTTTTCCAACCTTTCATATTGTATATATCCTGCTCCTCAACATACTCATCGGACGGGCATCGAAGGACAAGGCATTCATCTGGCGGCGTTCACTAAATGTTTTGGACCGAGTATTTGTTATTTTCCAAATGGCCGCATTCAACGGGCCACGCCGGGATCTCTCCCGACCTCCACAGTGGGCGCTTTGTCAGAGGGATGCGCAGCATGAGCTCGTTGGAGCCAATGTCACAAACATTCCCCGACAGTCGATCGTTACTGAAAAGAACATGCAAGAATCTTCGTCTACTCATTTTTCACTATTCTATCCACATTTCCTTGATCGTCGCGGCGTGGTCTCTACGGAACTGGGGAAAAATTCGGGCGAAGAGCATTTTCATTGGTCCCTTTGAGGACAGGAAAGTAGAACAAACGACATTGGGAGTCGTCATACCCGAGATCGACCTTTTCGACCGGCGCAAGTCTATGGGAGACCTTGGCATTCATCTCTTCAGTTTCTCTTATTCTTTACCTTCTCCGTATCTACGGGAAATCTCCTCCTGAGGAAGAGATACATCTGGCTATTTTTGGTCTCTGGAAAGGATACAGGGGCATACCACTACACGCAGTATTAGCTGATTTTTTTAATTGTAAGAGTAGCCGGATTGGAACAAATACCACGGTGGGCGGATGAACGGGGACGAGCAGGCGGACGGTGGCTGGTTTGCATCGGAGATAGGAAAGAGAGAAATATCACACACAAACAAACACCTCCACAATTCATGTCAAGGATTGCTCGTCCAAAGACCGAGATTTCCATGCCGAGCGCGCCCCAAAAAAAATAAAAAAATCCACGATTTGAATGTGACTGACTGGCACTGGGCACACCCAAGGAATCTCCAAAGGCAGAAGTTCCTGTCCCCTGACAGATCTGGGAGATCTAACTTGACCGGTTAGGAATCTGTACAAGCCCACCCCTCCCCAACCCCACCGACGCGTGGCGGATATGTCCGTTCCAAGAGATTGGGTTTTGACAGGCAATGCGAAGGATGAGGAAACCTCGGTTACGGGGTTAATTTGACGGCGGCTGGCTGGCTGGCTGGGCTGGGACTGGGTTGGTGTGCCAGGTGTGGTGCGGTTTGGTGGTGGTGGTCCCCGCCGTGGGCGCAAGGACATGCCTGAAATGGTAGTCAAGTGACGAAGGAGGACGATGGAGCCTACCACACCCACGGTGGGGGGGGGGGGGGGGGGAACCATTAATTATGTTCTCACCTGGTGATATTTTGTATGATGTAGATTGTGTGTATAAGATACTGGGCTGCTGTATGTAGCATATTTGTTCGTCTCTCTCGCTTTCTGTCCCCGGACGCTTTGTTTCGACGGGGTTTAAAATAGGGACGCTGCAACCAAAAATAAGATGTACACGAACAAGATACATGACATCCACCACGGGAAGAGAAAGTGTCAGCATCAGCTTGCTGGGTGGGCAGGTTTGACCCTTTGGCCTTTTCCTCCCCCCATGCTTCGTCCCCCCCTCCAGTGTTCCCACCACCCCCTTCATCCTCGTGACAATTATTCTGGGTAAGAAAAATAACACACAGTGATACGAATGACAAATTTCCCGAGGGCGAGGGGGGAAGGGGATCAAATCGGCATCGTAACGGCGCGGAACGGACGGGTAGAATCTCAATCTCACAAGATCGCGAGATTTGTCCTTTTTATTTTTTTGCTGCCTTGTTCCCTTCGATTTCACGAGATGGACAGACAGGGGGGAGGGGGGCGTGTGTCAGTGAGTGCAGCCTTTTTGCGGGGCCTACGGTGTTTTGTTCGTTCATAAAAATCCGATAAGCGGAACGGGAATCTCGGACGGGTAGGTAAGGACCTCTTTTTTTTTTTTTTTTTTTTTCCTGTTCTAATCGCGCCTCGGCGGGCGGCCTGGCCTTGTGCTCGGCAGTGTTGTGAGAAGTGATTAGAAATGAACTACATACACACACACGTCAGTCAGCCTGGTCTTTTCCCCCTGGTAGGTACGGGCACACCCATCCATCCCCTGGGAGGACGAGGGTCAGAGCAGGTTTTTGGGACACAGAGGGAAAGGGGGGCCAGTGCCGGTGGCCTGGTATTACCATGTGCTCCTTGGGGTTTATTATTCAAGGTATGTTACACAGGGTGGTTTGTATGAATGTGGTGACGGAGACGGGCTTCGTCGCCGACGGCGTTGGGGTGAAAATGGCGGGGGGGCCAGAGATCATCGTGTGGAAGTATGGAAGGCGAGAAAGAATGTTCTTGGAAGATTGGATGACTCCTACTTTTTGTTTTGGGGTGTCATGGTCACTGGTATGTGGAGGGAGGAGATTCAGAGACGCAACGAAGGAAGCGATGCCTTGTCTTCTCCCATCATTTGAATATCCCAGATCGCGATTACTTAGTGACGCGCATATCTTTTTTTGGCCAGTGCAGTGCTATTGACACAAGATGGCGTCGCCCGTATATTGGGACACACGCAACGCAGCGCACACACGACACGCGCGACGCACATACTTTATAACAGAGATCTTATGTCACGTCATGTTCGCGACACGAACAAGCAGCCGGCATGAAAGGGACAAAACCTGCGTTCGCCGCGTGGTCTGTGGCCAAGATTGATAGCTTCCCCCGGATGGTGTCTTTTGCTTTTCGGGATGGGAGGTGCCGGGTCAACCGGGAAGGACGATGTTAATGTGTGTGTGTGTGTGTGTGTGTGTGTGTGTGTGGGTGTCGCTTCTTCTTCTTTTGAGTTTTCTAAAAATCGACGCACTTTAACTCGTAGACGCGCGCGCGCAGTGTTAGTATGTGTCTACGGTAATAACAGCGAGCAGATGCGGTTATAATAGTGTCATGTGTGGATTATCAAAACCGAACCACGATGGACCATGGGTGTGGGTGGCTCTTTGCAATCCATCTGCCCGAGCAACCTTTTTGGGTTTCTTTTGTAAGAAGGATGGATCGGGGGACTCCACGAGTAGTTCATGTACCGCGCTTGTTTGAATCCTGAGTCTGCTGTTGCAACCTGGGAAAAACCTTGCCTTGTGTCGTGTCAGCAAGGCTGCCCCTGCCTGACATTGTTTTATCCCGCCGCGCCGTCCGATTTGCGATGGCGCGCCGCCGCCGCCCGATGGGAAGCAGGAGCAACCGGCACGGACCCTGTATCCGTGTAGTTTTTTTCTTTCTTGGGATGTTTCCCTGGGAGAAGGCCTTCCACGGAAGAAGGTGCGAAGAGGGGGGGGGCCTAGGCTTCGTCTCCGGGGTTTTGGCTTTGGGTTGGTTTTAAGGTAGTGCGTTTTCCGGGGACACCTTTTTCACACTGTCCACGAACTCTCTGGCATTCGGGTGTGTGCCAATATGGTTTTGGTCTGTCTTTTTGGCACATGGCACGTTGTGTTCTAGAGGCTCGGCGGGCAAAGTCAAAAAACGACAGACAGTCAGGTCGCCAGGTAATGCTCTTCCCCCTTCATCGCAGCATGCGGAAAACAACATGACTAAGACTGTGCCTTTCCAAAATTCACATGTGCAAATCGCTTGATCTATTTTTCTTCTCGCAATTGTCAAAGTTAGCAACATGAGATAGGCACATAGAGATGGAGGCGCCGGGTGACAGATGAAAAGAAAAAGGACAAAATTCAAATCCCGTGGTTACACAAGCAGGAGCGGGCATCGGTGTCTGCGCTGCATTTGCACCCTGCTGCTGCTGCTGGTACATACATACATACGCACTTATGTTCTTTGTGTCGCCAGCGCGCGGTTGAAATTTCCGCGCGACGGGTGTCACGAAAGGCATGCGTGCGTATCTACCTAGGTTTCCCCCCTCCCCCCAGTGCGCATTGTATATACGACGACACACGACGACGACGTGTACACGGCATTGCGTTACCGGTCTGATGCGTGTAGCGGCAGCTCAAGGCAAGGCAGGGCAAGAAGAGGGCGGCGGCGTGCGGCGGCGGCATAGATCGTAGACGGGTAGTCTGCTTGTTCATATCGGTGTTGGTGGGACGTCGTACGGTGGCAGTGACACGCACGACGTTCTAGCATGTTGGCCGTACACAATCCTTCTTTTTCTTGTAAAGCGGAAGAGCAGCGGGAGTGATTGAGGGGCGTCGGCGGTGCTGCGTGTCATTGGTCGGGATAGGTTGCAACGGGTTTACCTCAAGAGGTGTAAGAGGATACAGACGTACAGGTGTAAGTGCACTAGCTAGCTGTTACGGAGTTGGTTGAGTGAGATGGGGAAATGCAGTTGGACCTCCTGTTTTTTTTTTTTTTTTTGTTTTTTTTGTTCTCTTTCGGTATCCTCTTCTTTCTTGTGTAATCTTGACACGACGAAAGCCAAGTCGCGAGCCGACATGGCCCTGGAGTGGGACATGTCGTACAAGAGCTTGGGGAAAGGCAGCGCGCGCGGAGGCAGAGGTGGAGGAGTGTGGTTAATGTTGCTGTTTACGGCCGCAGGGCGGGGGGGAGGACAAGAGGAGGAGACACACGGTTGGAGATGCACAAGGCGGTGATGTTTTGGTTTTTTTATTTTTCGTAGATACGGCGGGGGCATGACCGCGAGGCAGACAGGAGTTAGCAATGGAATTGGGTGGTTTGGTTTACGACACGGCGCGGAGCAGCAGCAGCAGTAAATGAAGTAATACGCCAGCAGCAAGGCGGCCTGCAACTTTACCATGTGCTGACTATTTGTTTATTCAGTTTCCTTTTTTCCC